CCACTCTGTGAAGTTGGCGGCGCGCAACAATCAAAGTGGCCGCGGGGCTGCGGGCTCGTTTTCCTCCCCCGGCGGCCGGCGGTCCATCGCCTCCTGGAGGCCGGGCGCCGGGGCGAGTGCGGCTCCCCGCGCTTTTTTTTTCTTTCGGTCCGGAAAATGCAGCCCGAGGTGGCCCAAAGGTGGAGGAAGGACTGCGGGCAGACGCTCCGGTCGTCTTCCCTTAGTTCTGCTCATCCTGGGGCCGCCCGAGCCCTGTCCAAGGGAAGGGAGCCCGGAGTTAGAATTGGACACTTGGGGTAAGGTTGCTTTGGACCCTCCCCTCAAAGAAATTTTTAACACCGCCTCTCCCCTCATCCAGTTCTCTGATTTTCCCTTCCTCCAGCCGTTTAGTGAAAAAGGCTAAACTGGGTTCCATCTGGTAGATGATAAAGTGGTATATGAGAAAAAGGTAGGAGGGGGAAGGAGAAATTCTTAAGAACTGAGAAGAAAATTGCCAAAACTGAGTTGAGAAAGCTCAGGTAAGCAGAAAATACTCCTGCCCATTAGTTCCAGGTACATCTGCAAGACACAAGAAGCCTTATTTCAAAATAGCAATATATGTTATTTAATTGGGTGCTCCTCTTCAAGGTCTTGAGCGTGGAGCTCTGAGGCCGTACAGCTGTTAAGCAGCAGCTGCATTCCAGGCCAGAAGTGGCTGCACTTCAGTAGGCTGGGAGCCTCCGCGTTGACCCCAGTGAGTAGTCTGGGTGTTAAGTGCTTTGGAATTCGACCAGATAAAGTGGAGACAAAAAAAAAAAAAGTCCGCTTGTCAGTGTATTGGACTTTTCCCAGAAGCTATTCTCTGTCATTAAACGGTAATAAGCTACTAGAATAGGCAGGTATCAGTTTTGCCCTTTCAATTTAGCAGGAATTACATCCTCTATCAGAAATAACAGATGGGCAGTCGGATATACTGCCATGAAAGATGGGCTGAACTTGAAAGAGGACACCTATCAAGCAAAATCACCTACTTCTACTTTTTGTACAAGGACAATAAGATTAATTATACTAATAAAAATACAGGTAAATGTTTAATTTAAAAGTCAACATTAAAACAAATGTTGCTGAACTTAACAAATTCTAATTCCAAAAATTATGGTTTTAATGGAATTTTATTTCTGTAAACAGGAAAATGTGTAATGCTTTCTTTTTAAAAGTTTAATTCTCAGGATGCTTCATAGTATTTATTCACTATAGCAGCACCATTAAGATCAGTAGTGGTTTACCAGCTTGATTATAACCAACATCTTTTCTTCATGGCAACCACCATCTTTTCTTCATAGTGATGTCGTGCGCTCCCTGGTGGTCTAGTGGTTAGGATTCGGCGCTCTCTCTTCATAGTGATGTGATAATCTTTAATTGAATGTGTATTATTTTTATTATATCAGCATGTTCCCCTACTGTGCTGTAAGTTCTCATTGAGTTTGAAGTGTCTGTGCTTCATTCCAGTGGAGATGATTTCAAAGCCAGTTTCCCATCTCACTGTTCTTTTGCTTGACCTAGTCAAAACACACATTCAAAAACAGGAAGCCCTCTGGCTCCTTCCAGTTAACAGGGCATCATTTATACCTACTTTATTTTGCCTGGGGTGGGGGAGATGTGCACAGTAATGGTGTGATTGAAGTGAAATTTATTGTGGCAGTATATGACACCCCCTTCTCCCCTCTCATGCACATACCTCTTCTCCACAATTTTAAATGTAACTCACTTTTCCCCAATCCCTGGAATAACTGTCCCATTTACCTCAGCCTAAAAATAGACGAGGATCTGGTCACAAGCCAGCCCAATTCTAGGACCTTGCTGGAATTCTCCTTAACTGTTCAGTGACCAGCCAGGACAGAAATGTAGGACCACTCAGTCTGTTTATACACTACTGCTAGTCTAAGCAGCTTTTCATAAGCAAAGTGCATAAAATCTCTCATTCTCATAATTAGAGTCGCCAGATAAAATGCAGGATGCCCAGTTCTATGTGAGTTTCAGATAAGCAATGAATAGTTTTTAGCGTAAGTATGGACCATGTAATATTTGAGATATACTTATACTAACGTTGTTTATCTGAAGTTCAAATTTAATTGAGCATCATGTATTTTTATTTGCTAAGTCTGGCAACCCTGCCTATAACATAAGACAGCTTTGGAAGATCAAGCCCCA